GCCTAGGGAGGATTTTATACTGGGTTCATTTTAAGGAATTCGAAATAACACAACTTTAAAATTTGGTTTAATTCGGTTTTACAGGGGGGGATTGTATATATGCCTTTGTTTTAAATATGTTGTGAGCCGCCCTGAGTCCCGTTGGGAGAAGGGCGGGATATAAATTAAATTAAATAAATAAATAAAATAAATAAATAAAAATTAATTATAGAATAAAAAGGAAGTCCTCTCCCTGAGAAGGGAATTTATTTACCTTGTTGATTTCCGGGGTTTGTAAACTCGGCTTACTGATTCTAATATCTGTAAGAGGAAAAAAAAAGCTGAACTGACATCATTCAGCCCCCTGCCTGAAATCCCAAAGCCTTGAATCTGAATAGAATGAGAAAACTGCCAGCAGATGTGGCTCATATTTAGGGAAATCAGGAAGTCTCCTGAGTTTGGGGCAATCTTGGAAAACAGGAAGAGAGTGAACTTTCTACAGATCACCTGGTGAAGAATATCTTTAAACCTAGAATCATATTTAACCACTTGGACCGGAGATCTGAAACCAAGGATCCTGGAGTTCAAAATCCTTGATTGAATACGAACTATGCAAAATTATGTTGTGGGTTGTTCTTCTGCCTTTTCAGAATGCAAGTTTTCAAGCATTCTTCGGTGTGAATGCAGACTCCTAATTAGCTGTTCCTTTGTTTCTAAGCAAAAAGGAAAGAATTGCCCCCTAGCTAAAATTCTCAGGGTGAAATAAAGCCATAAAAAAAAAAAAAGAGAGAGAGAGAAAACCACTTAAAACAACAATCCATGGCGGTGGTGGAGCAGTCCTAATCCTCAGCTGAGTGCCAGCAGCCTTCATTGTGCCCTTTGCAAATTTTTAACCCAATACGCCCCAAACCATCGTTTTGCAGGAACCCTCAAGGTATCCTGGACTACAGTGCCCATGGCAACGTTCAGCCCAACAGAAGGATCCTGAGAATGCTGGAATTTTCTGCTTGTTCCTTTGCAAACACTCACGCAAGGGGTTTTGCAAGAATCAGTTTTCCCCATGCAGTTTTTATTTACTCCCAGGAAAACGATGCCTAAGCGGATAGGCTGAATTCAGATGTTCCTTCACCTGGGAATATTCCTCCACTCTCCTCTCCCAGATCCCTGTCACATCTATCCAGCCACCTCCAACCGGTGGCCATGATGGTTTTCTTGCCTTGTTGACATTTTATGCTGGCTATCCAGACTCACTTTGTACTGTGAATGGGATAAATTAATAAATACCTCTCTACTGCTTACCTGGTTTTTCTTTTCCCCTCTTCAATAGCGAAGGGCAGTTGCTAGCAGAAAAGAAAGAAAGATGCATAAAAATTGGGAAATTTCCCTGCTAGCCCTTCAAATCATTCCCTTCCCCCTTTGGGGTTTTCTTTTCTACTGTCTCCACCTCTTACAATATTCAGTCTCCCTACATTATTAAGTCCTGGGGCTTGGCAGCAGCTTGGTTCATAAGGAGTGGCTTTCTGAATAATTACCTGTTCAGTTTCACATTCAATTCTATTTTGAGTTTCCCAGGAACAGGAAAATCAGATTAAAAAAAATAAAAGAATAGAGGTCTGATAACTTGCACTGTAAGAAATTAAAGAATGCAGAGAATTCACCACCTTGCTCTACTTAGCCAAAACCGGTCTATCCCTTCTGAAAGACAGACGCTCTTTTAAATACAGTATTTTTTTTTTAAAAAATGCCCTGTTTGCTTCGTCTTGTTGTTGACGTTGCTGTTAGTGACCCCAGAATGGCGATTGGTTGCAGCATTCTTGTTTAGGGGCTTTTTGAAAATCTCTCCCCTGCATGAGATGCTCTGAGCTTCATTGCGGGGTGTGGGGAGCGGGGGGGGGCAGGGCGGTAGACATTAAGTTTAGGTAGCTTGTTGGGAGGAAGAAGGTCAAGTCAGCTCCTCCCTGTATCTTTAAGGATGCAGGTAATTGTTTAGTCTGGCAGGTGAAGAACAATAAAGGGAACTACTTATGTTACTTTGCATGCGGTTCTTGGTTTTGGAACCTGACATTAATAAAACAGGACTTCTTGTAGTAGAAAGAGTGTGTACAAAACACACTGATTAGAAAAGTGTACAGAAATGTACAGAAGGCAGGACAAGAAGCAACCAATGGAGACTAATCAAAGAGAGAAACAACCTGGAACTAAGGAGAAATTTCCTGACAGTGAGAACAATTGACCAGTGGAACAACTTGCCTCCAGAAGTTGTGGACGCTCTGGAGGTTTCTAAGAAGAGACTGGACAGACACTTGTCTAAAATGGTTTCCTACCTGAGCAGAGGGTTGGAGTAGAAGACCTCCAAGGTCCCGTCCGACTCTGTTATTTTGTTCTGTTATTCTGAAGTGATTTAGCTCTTTAAAGAGATTGGAGCAACCTGGTCTTCAGCTGCTTATAGAAAGCTACTAAGGGGTGTTGGGGGAAGGAGAATGGGGGGGCTGTGGTGGAGGCCCCATCCCACCCTTCTTTCACCATAAAATGCCAAGGGCAGCTGGGCAGCGAGTCAAAACAGCAGCTTGATGAACTTCTGCTGAACAGCCGCCCAGTTCTAGTCCCTGTAGTCTCAGCCCCCCTCCCGGAAAAAAGGGCGGGGGGATTCAGACACAACAGCCAACAAACCCATCCTGCCCAGATGCCCCAAAGAGACAGCAAGACCCTTTTTTTCAGCCCTCCGAGCAAGGAGAGGGATCACCTCTCCTCTAAACAGGACAGGCTCTTCTGCAGCTTCTTCTCCTTCTCCTTCCAGGGACATTTCTCTCCCCACCCGGAGGGGGGGTGTCCCTGGGCTGACTGAGAAGTCCCTGCAGCCCTTTTCATCTTCCCCGAAAGACAAAGAAGCCTGTTGCCCTTTAGGAACAGGGAACAGCAGGGGAAGTCGGTGCCAAGGCTGCTTTAAATAGCTCGGCCTTGAATCTGAGTGAATAAAATCACTGGCATCTCGGGCAAAGAATTAAAAGGGCCTGGATCGCTTTTCCAGATTGCTTTTCTCTTTGTAGGGGAGGGAAAGGAATAGATGGCAGAGTCTGGCCCATTCAGCCCACCCCCTCTCTTAGATGGTTTCTCACCTTCAGCAGCTTGAAGATGGGTGGATTTCAACTCCCAGAATTCCCCAGCTAGCTATGTTGCTAGGGAATTCTGGGAGTTGAAGTCCACCCATCTTCAAACTGCTGAGGTTGAGAAACGCCATTCTAATAAACCTTGAGGAATATTACCCCATGTAAGAAGAAACCCCAAAAGTCAACACTGACCTAGACATTTAAATTTAATAAATAAATAAATAAATAAATAAATAAATANTCGGGTTTTCTCCCGTGTAAGATTAGAAGTGTCATAGCGACGTTTCGATGAAATCACATTCATCATCATCAGGCTTGTGCTTTTAGCTTTGTGCTTCTCAGAGAAGCACAAAGCTAAAAGCACAAGCCTGATGATGATGAATGTGATTTCATCGAAACGTCGCTATGACACTTCTAATCTTACACGGGAGAAAACCCGAATAACCAAAGACTCACATATAAACACCCGTGAAAACCTCAGAAAACATATATATATATATATATATATTCATAGCACCAAAATAACAATCACCAAGAGAACATCTATAAAATATAGAATTTAATACACCAAGCTTTCGTCAAATACGCTTGACATCGTCAGGGTTAAAAGGCAAATGCTGATTGAAGTCTTACATACAATTGCTAAGTATCTGTTTCCGGCTCCTAGAGCACGTAACATATATACATGTTTTCTGAGGTTTTCGCGGGTGTATGTATGTGACCTACAGTTTGGTTATTCGGGTTTTCTCCCGCGTAAAATTGGAGGTGTCTTGGCGACGTTTCGACGAAGTCCCATTCGTCATCTTCAGGCTGGTGTTTTCGGCTTCGTGCTTCTAGGAGCAATGTGTGATCGCAGCTGTTTTAAAGGAAGAAACTGTTTAAAAGGAAGAAACAGCTGCGATCACACATTGCTCCTAGAAGCACGAAGCCAAAAACACCAGCCTGTAGATGACGAATGGGACTTCGTCGAAACGTCGCCAAGACACCTCCAATTTTACGCGGGAGAAAACCCGAATAACCAAAGACCTACATATATATATTAGTTTTTATTATTAAATGTATATGCCTTCCATCTCGGAACTCAAGGGGATTCTAGATAGGAAGCGAGGGTTGAATTAGGACGAAGGAAAATCTTGTCACCTTTCTGGGGGCTCCAGATGGGCATATGGGAAGGAGGGGAGCAATGGCCCCCTCCCCACCTACCCACCCACCCCGTCCAGCCAAGATCAATTGCCAGAATTAAACCCCCCTTCCCCAATCAGTGCAACGCTTCCGAGCATCTCCGCTAGGTGACGCTGTTTCCGCTGATTGAGCCCCATCCAAACCCAGCAGCTGGACGGCCTTTCCCACGAAGCTAAAAAGCGTGTTTGTTTTTTTCTCTCCTTTTTTTCTAAAAAAAAAGCAAAGCGGAGCTCCCAGTTCGGTTTTCCCAGAGAGAATTACCGGCTAGAAAGCAAAGTAGATTTGCCCCGGGTCGGGTGCTGAACTTTAGGAGACATTCCCCCCCCAGAATCCCCCAGCCAGCTGGGAATTGAAGTCCACACCTTTTAAAGTTGCCAAGGTTGGACACCCCTGATGTCTAGAAGCTAAAATCCCAGATTACACACACACACACACACACACACACACATACATAAAACGGGGGGAGAGGGACTGGAAGGAGGGTAAGCCCCTCTCCCTTTAAGTTTCTTTCCTGGCCAATGGCCCCAGGAGCATCTTTGTGTGTGATTGTGTGATTGTGTGATTGTGCGATTGTGTGTGTGTCTGCGTTCCCGGGAGGAGCGCCACCCGAACCGAGTGCCGCTCCCCGAAACCCGCTGCGTTCCCCTCTCGCCCATCGCGCTCGGACTACAAAACCCACCCTCGGCCCGATTGCCGGGGTGGCAGAGGAGCAGAATCCCTCCCACTCAAATAGGTGGGCCCCGCCCTCCCCTCCGTCCCGGGGCGGGGGGGGGGAAGGTCTCGGCCTCTGTCCCGCGACTCGAGGTTACTGCATTCAGACGACGCCTCCCCGCCGTTCCCCCGCCGTTCCCCCGGATCCCAGACCTTCCGCGTTGAGCGCAGCCCGCCCAGGCTGGAGCCCCGCAACCAGCCGGGCGTCCTGCTTGGGTGGGGGGACCGGCAGGAGCGCCTCTGGGCAAGCCGCGGGCGCTCTGTGCATGGGCAGAGGGTGCGGTTTTCCCGGGGGAGCGGGGGGGGCTTCCTCCCGTGGGGGGGTCCCGGAGCCCCCTCCTCCTCCCGGGCCAGCCCAGCGTCCCTCGGAGGCGCTCCGGACTCACCGGCCGGCGCAGCAGCCGCAGCGGTTCCCCATGGTGCCAGCCGCTTCCTGGTCGCGGCTCCTCGGCCCCAGGGTGGCAGCCCGGCCGCGGGCGAGGAGGCGGGAGGCGGGCGGCGGCGGGAGGCGGCGGAGGTGTCAGGTTTCCGCGCGAGCAGCCCAGCCCAGCCCAGCCCCGGCCGCCCTCTGCTGGCCGCGCTGCCCGGCGGGCGGGGGACGTCCAGCCGAGGCGTTGGTCCCTCCTGCCCCGCCGCCTCCGCCTTCCCAGCCCCTGGCAGGGGGAGACCCTCGCCGCCCCTTCGGAGTGCTCTCAGCCCGCAGCGGCGGATCCCTCCGCCGTCCTGCCCCATCCTCCGCAACCTTTCCACTCCCAGCATCTCCACCTTGCCCATCATCCACAACCTTTCCACTCCCAGCATCTCCATCGTGCCCCATCATCCACAACCTTTCCGCTCCCAGCATCTCCACCGTGCCCCATCATCCACAACCTTTCCGCTCCCAGCATCCCCCTCCTGCCCCAGCATCCCCAATCATCCCATTCCCATCTTCCACAACCTTTAGGCCCAGAAAAAGTCCCCACTGGGAGAGCTGATTTGGGGCCGTGCCAGGGCCGGGATGGGCACCCGCAGAAAAACCAGGATGGCAAACACAATGCTACCATTGAAGCTGTGTTGCCTTGGATGCAGTGTGGTGACCGCCATTTTGACTTTTTTGCCCCTCATTTTATGGACACCCCAGAAAGACGCTATAACCATTTGGATGGGCAAAGTTTTATTTCCCCAATACGTTTTCTAAGGGGGGGCATATTTGGGGGAATGTATACGCTGGGCTTTTCACGAGCAGCAAATCTTCCTGGTGACTTCATTTCAGGTCCCTGAAGATCCTATCCTATACTCCCCCCCCCAGATCCTCAAAGAAATCAGAAAAACAGGACATCCAACAGGAAAGGTGTTTTGCAGGGGGACAGCCAGCCCCGTGGGATTGCAGCTCCCTACAAAATGCACGGCTGTTAAGTGGGGAGGGGGCAAGCCTTCCAAGAACAGCAGCAACAGGTGGTCCCTCCCTCTTGAGCCGCAACCCAGACTTGAAAGGACGCCCGGATGCCAGGCTGCCAGGCGCCCGGCCTGTCCTTCACCTCCCATCATTTGGCAGGGGCTACAGGAGGTGGAAGGAGACGGACACCTGTCAGGTTTTTTTCAATGACAGCCCCTTTGCTAGCAGGCGGAAAGAGCCTGGCGGCAGCTGCCAAGTAGCCAAAACCTCAGAGGAGACGTCTGAAAATGCTTACATCCCCCTCCCCCCCTCTGGAACATCATGCCCCTGCCCCCCAGGTGAGATCTGCACCCATGCCCTCGGCTTCTGGAAAGGGCCTGAAGACCTGGCTCTGCCCACTGGCTTGGGACCTCAAGGGGGCCGTGTCATTCTGGGGGTGGACCCACCTCCTCCCCTTCCTTGCCATCTTTGTCCATTTTAAACCAATCTTACAGTGTTTACTAATAGTAATACTGTTACTGTTTTATTATTTTAATGTTTTATATTGCTGTTTTATTGATTGCAGGCCACCTAGCTCTAGGCAAGATGGGCGGCGTAGAAGTTTAATTAATGAATAAAATGCAGGTAATTCTAGACTTACCGCCACAATTGAGAGCAAAATCTCCGTTGCTAAGCAAGACCGTTGTGAAGCGAGTTTTGCCCCATTTTGCGACCTTTCTTGCCGCAACTGTTAAGTGAATCACTGCCCTTGTTAAGTTAGCCACACGGTCCTTCAGGGAATTGCCCCCCCCATTGACTTTGCTGGTTGGAACGTCGCAAAAGGGGGCCAGGTGACCCCGGGAGGCACTGCGACCATCGTGACTACGCGCTAGTGGCCGAGCGTCCTAATTTTAATCACGTGACCCTTTTGGATGCCGCAACGGTTGTAAGCGGGGAAAACGGTCGTAAGTCACTCTTGTCTGTGCCGCTAGAACTGCAAAAGGTCACTGAACGAATGGCTGTAAATTGAGGGCTATCTGTAAAAATAACATTTCCACACGAGAGACCTTAAGAAAGACCCCAAGAAGGGAGAGGGTGGCTTCTCCTGTCGCAAACTTTCCCACTGTGATGCAAACTTTCCCACTGTGATTGGCACCCCACCCCACCCCAGACCCACAATGCAAGCAACACAGGGAGTGTGACATTTGCTCCCAACATCCCTCTCCCACCCCAAGACTTCCACAAGCCATGAATGTAGGCTAAGAAATGGCTTGGGTTGCAAAGCATCTCAGGAAAGGGATTTTTGTATGGCTGGAGCCAGACAGGAAAATGCAAACAAAATCCAGATTTTGCAAGGCTGCTGGTCTCGCCCCCCCCACCCTCTGGCCCTGTGTCCCTGTTGTGGCTTTTCAGCTGAGTGCAGAAAGACAAAAGCGTTCTCGACAATCCTGCTTCCCCACCCCCTCCCTCCACCACCAAGCCAGGCTTGGCTGCCTGTTCACATTCCCTTTCCCTAACACGTCTGTGGGCACAAAAGGGGCCCGCTTGAGAGTGCCCTGGGGGGGGGGCTTCTCTGCTTTCCGGACATCCGTGCGGACATCCAAAGGTAAGCCCTGGTTTTTGAGGGGTGGGTGGGAGTGGAGGCAGGGGGTCCATCGGGGAGATGAGAGGCCAGGCATTGTTGAGTGCCAACTGGAGAGGGCATCATGCCAAGCCAGGGAAGATGAGAGGAATTTCTGGAGTTGAGAAAGATTTGGGACCCCAGGAAAGCAAAGTCCAATTTATGGCAAATAGATGAACCACCAGCGGTTGAATTTTGAATTTTAACGAACAGACACAGGTCCAATTTTTCACTTGACATCTCCCTCTCCCCCCCCTGCAATAATTCCCTGCCTGCCGATCCAATTGCCTTGTCTCTCCAAATTCTCCCTGCCGAGATTTCGTCACGACAAATCTGGAAAACCGGGTGTGTTGCTCTTGCAAGAAAATGGAACGAGGGTCATCTGAATAATGGATAAACTTGGGGGAACCGTTTGAGAGTCTGCACCGCCAGCCATTCAGATCCACAGGAAACGTTCTTCTGAAGAGATGTCCATTTGGACTCCAATGGGTGTTTTGCACTTAACCCCCCTGTCCAGAAAGTCCAAAAGTGGACAAGCTAGCTTTAAAAATGTGTTTGTCTAAAAACCACACATACACATAAATAATTAGAATTCAGCACTGCAGAGAGGTTTCCCACAGCCAGAGTTGTTATTGCATGAGCTTTCCGAATTATGTGGGTCAGCGGCTGCAACTCAAATGTGCTTCCTTTTCAGTTGTGGCTTTGTGGCTGGCTGTTTCTCATTGCAGTGAAACACAAAGAGCTGTCAGTTGGACGGCCCCTCCAGCCAAGGAATGTTTCCTCCCAACGGGAGGAAAGGCTTAGGAAGCTTGAAAATACGATGGTGGTCCTTGATTCCCCAGACCCTCAACCCCAAGTCATTCAAACATTTGGGTCTGTGGTTGCAATTGGCTCAAGGCAGAAAAAAAACCCCAGATCACAGTTGGGGATACCGAGGCACAGTGAGCCCAGAGAACGGAGGCTGCTAAGAACACAATTCCCACAATTATGTAGTCCTGGACTTACAACAGGTCATTTAGTGACCGTTCAAATTTACAACAGCATGGAAAAAAAGCAACACGACTGTTTTTCATACTTGCGGCATCCCCAGGGTCACACGATCCAAATTCAGACGTTTGGCAATTGACTCGTATTTATGACGGTTGCAGGGTCCCGAGGTCACGTGATCCCCTGTTGTGACCTTCTGTCAAGCAAAGTCAATGAGAGAAGCCAGATGCACCTAACAACCGTGTTACTAACTTAACAACTGCAGTTTTCACTTAACGACTGTGACAAGAAAGGTTGTAAAATGGGGCAAAATTCACTTAACATCTGTCTCACTCTGCACCAGTAATTTTGGGAGTCAATTGTCGTTGTAAGTCGAGGACTACCTGTACTTTCTTTAAAAAGTTCTTTATGAACCCAGAAACTGTTCGCTTGAAGCAGGGAACTGCAAACTCGCTAGCCACATTTTAGCCTAGCAGGCTGCACAAATCTAATTTGCAACCCTTACAATTCACTGAATTAGCTGAAAGTAACCAGTGTTGAGTAACGTAAATGCAGCTACTCTAATCTTATTGTTAACGGAGACGGGAAACATTTGCTTTGTGTCAGTAGTCATATGATGGGAAAAGTTTATTGGATGAAAAGTTTAGCTAAGTAACCTAGAGTTAGGTGAATGTGTGATTTTTTTTGTAAGTGTTTAACTGTTTGCATTTATTTGTTTACTTACTTTCCCAAGTTATGATTCATCAATAGTTCTGAAAACAGGTTCTTTGCTTTATTTTTTTATTTTAAAATCTCATTTAATCATCAACAGATGAGTAAAAGCAGCCAAGAGCAAAAGGAAGGGCAGTAAATAAAGCTTTGCAGAATTCCAAAATAAAAAGGGCTGATTTGATGGGTTGTCAAACTAAGCCCATCTCAAAAGGGCTAATTAATTCTTTGGTAAAGAAAGTAAGGTTTAATCATCTGAGTCTGTCTAATGCCAGCAACATTGCGAGTGTCATCTTCCCTACTCTACTGGCCTTCCAAGTGCTTTGGACCACAACTCCCATCAGCCTACCACATTGGCAGAAAAATGTTAGGAATTATGGTACCTGTTCAAAGTGAGAAACAAAAAGGTTTCAAACTGGTGCAGTGGCCTTTACTGTCTTCCATTATAATCCGGGGAATTATATTTTTGATGAACGAAGGTTAGAAGACATCTAAAAGGATAAGTTGTAGCTCTGAAGACCTTGTGGGAGAAGCTTCTTGGAATGAAAACCCTAGATATTTGGGGAGGAAAAGATGAAGCCAAGGAGACCAACTAGGCCTGGCCTTTGGTGTCCATGAAAGACCACTTCCAAATTCACCTACTCAACGTATCCCAAAATGGGCCATCCTAGAAGGATGTTTTAGGGATCTGAGGTCTCTCCTGAACTTCCTGCTTTCCTTTCTGGTTGTCCTTGGCTGGTGACTTCCACCTCGTTGACTTTGGCCTTCACTTCCTTTCCCGTCCGCCGGACTTCAACGCTCAGGATGCCATCGTGGGTCACAGTGGCTTTGACTGACAAGGGATCGACATCCAAGGGCAGGATGTAGGTTCGGGTGAATTCCCGGGAGATGAATCCATGTCGGTCAACCTTCTGAGGATGCTGGGCTGTCACCTCCAGGAGGTTGTCCACAGTGCGGACAGCGATTTCATCGGGGGTGAACTGGCAAACGTCAAGGAAGACCTGGAATTTGTGTTCATTGAGGGTGACCTCTGAAATCCCTCGTTCCAGCTGTTTGTTAATCCGGGGCCTGATATAATAACCATGGTACAAAGTTGGAGCCAGAATATCTCCAGGGCAAAGGCCTAGAAGAAACAAGAATCGTGGCTTAGCATGTATTATGGTTTATAAGGGGTCCTTGGTGCTCTCTGAGCTTGATTGTTTTCTTGCAGACATTTCATGACCCAGCTAGGGAACATTATCAGTATAGTGCGTGATGTTTGGGTCTGGAAACATCTGCAAGAAAACAACCAAGCTCAGAGAGCACCAAGGACCCCTCATTTCAGCCTTGAGCTACAAATATTTTCTTCTATGGAGTATGGATTATTTATTATTTTATGGCTGAAAAGCAATGGTGTGTGTGAGAGAGAAAGCAATTTTGAACAGAAGAAGGAACCCATGAAAAAAATCAAAGGATTTCTGCAGATTAGAAGCAGCAGTATGAAAGAAGATGGAGTCAACTTATTTTCCAAAGCACCAGAAGGCAGAACAAGAAACAACGGATGGAAACTAATCAAGGAGAGAAGCAACCTGGAATTAAGGAGAAACTTCCTGACAGTGAGGACAATTAACCAGTGGAACAACCTGCCTCGAGAAGTTGTGGGTGCTCCAACACTGGAGGTTTTTCAGAAGAGACTGAACAGTCACTTGTCTGAAATGATACAGGATCTCCAGCTTGAGCGGGGGGCTGGACTAGAAGACCTCCAAGGTCCCTTTTCCAGCTCTATTCTGATTGAATGATTGATTGACTGAAACCAACCCCCAGTTCGTGACTTGCTCCTCCAAGCTCACCGTTGCTTCCATGGCTAAGCAAGATGTTTTGCAGAAGGCTGGTGTTGAGTTTTAAAAACCCGCAAAGCCTGTCTCCTCAGAAGGTTGGAACGGAGCCCACGGCATCCTCAATGGCCGAAAAGCCATTGTCCACTTCCAATCTCTTCAAAAGGGCTGCTGGTGGAGAAGGTGGACTCTTCCTTGGGGGAGAAATTGCTGCTCCATTGCTGAGCACGGTCCCGAGTCCCTTCCCAGCCTCTCCCACTCCAGATGCCGCTTGGCAGAGCAGAGGAAGAACCTGCTGCCAGGAAAGACGCCCACTGCCAATAAGGCAGCCTTCTAATGGCTGCGCCTCGGGGGGGGGGTCTCCAAGGAGAGGGCAGCACCGTCTCTCTCCTGCAGACCCCCAATCTCTTTGGCCTCCCCTCTCCCACTTCTGCCAATGATTCTTCCCCAAGGGGGCTCCATCCTGCTTACATGGGGAGGCCTGGCATGATTAGCCGGGCCACACACTACTCCCCCCTCTCTGTGCAAGGCAGTTGTTCCACCGGTTCATGCCAAGAGCTCCACCCCCTGCAGACTGCCCGACGGGGCCAGGAGGGGGTGGCGTAGCTGATGGCTGCCTCTGCATTCCTTCCAGGGGCGTTTCGGCCCCGCATGCCAGCTGGGCTTTGCAGCGCTTAAGTGGGCTTCCCAAAGTCTCCAGCCAGCAGCAGCGTTTTTTTCCAAAAGCCCCCTCCTCGTGCCAGCCGACTGCATTCCACCGGCTCTGTTTGTGCCAGGGAAGGGGAGGGACTGGCAGGGAGGGGAGGACCGGGCAGAAACATCTCCTTGTCTGCAGTCAGATGGCGATTATTATTAGCTTCTCCCCAAGGACCTTGCAGCCAGATCTTCCTCACCCTCATGCCAGGTCTCAGAATACTTATTTTCTTTTGTCATTTATTTACTTTGTTCCTTTTTCTAATGTATTTTTTACTCTATCTTGAGCTGCCCAGAGTTGTTCGGAGTTGGGTGGCACCTGAATCAAGTAATTAAAAGCAATCTCTCTATAATTAAAAAATGTTGCCACGAGCATCAAAATTAACCAGAGAAAGGCAGCTGGCGAGCAACTTTCCCGACCTCAGGAATTCGACAGAGAACCACAAGCGGTGAGTTCTCCTTCCTGTAGAAGCGGAAGAGAAATGGCCAGCCGTTGGAAAGATTTTCATCTGGGTCTCTGCCTTGAGCAGGGGGTTGGGCTTGATGGCCCCAAGGGAACCCTTCCAACTTTTAAGATTCAAGGCAAAGCCAAGCTTTTTCTTGGAAAAACTCTTCGTCTTTGCAAAGCTTCGGGGCGGGAGAGGCAGGGAGAATATGTTTCCCTATCTGAGGAGTGTATGAAACACAACCAGCAGCACAATAAAAATATCACAAACTTTACAGCAAAGCAGGAAGCTGTAAGTGTGCCCGAATCATCTATGAAACTGAGTTACAAGGCTGGGATCCCCAGAAGGAAGTGTTCCCGTACCCCCCCCCCCAATATTGTCCCTCTCCACCACCCGCACCCAGCATTGGCAGTGGGTAGGGTGCTCAGCAGGGCTTTGTCCAAGAAAATAAACCAAAACTGATCCGGAAGTTCCTCCTTCCCAAACACAGGATCTCCCAAGTCTCTGTAAGGGTGGTTGCTGGTCCAAATATAATCTCCCTTTCCATTTACACAACCACACAACAAAGGCCTGGGAAAGATTGGGCTCCAGCCACAAAAGGCTCATGATGCACTTTTTAGCACATTGGAATGGGGGGCTTGCACCCCAGATTAACTATTCCAGGAAGGTCCCTCCACCCCAGAGCTGGAATCCTCAGAAACCTGCAATCTGGAAGGATGGGGAGGGGGGTGTCCCTGCCCACTTTACCTTCTCCAAAATTCTGGTCGTAAATCTTGCTGGGGTTGGCAAACTCGCATTCCGGGCTCATGGGGTAGGCGTGGGGCAGGCTGTGCTGCTGAGCCATGATGAGAAAGCTGTCTAGATGTGCTCGCTCCCCAGCGCCTTCCTTGGGAAGGCTGTAGCCAGCTGGCTGGCTGGCCAATTGGGACACTTGGAAAGCAAATTCCACCGGGAGGAGGAAGTGATAAAAGATGGACCGAAATAGACAGGCGGGCCCTGCTGTGCTGAGCCCCCAGGGAGGACCAGGAGGCTTGTGGCTCTGCAGCCCCCCTCCCAAGGAGAGCATCTTCTGGCTACTGGAAGGCGGTGGGAGAGGCCTCTGATGTTGAGGGTCAGGTGGCCGCTAGTCTTTGGGACCAGCAACATCTTGGGGAAAACCAGGCTATCTCCTGAGAGACCCGGGTTTCGAATCAGGCAGCAGCTGCTTTCAGAGGCTGCCTGGCTGGTTGCATCATGGCTGCTGCTGCTGCCGCCACTGTCCAGACTGCTGTGGTTAAGAGGAGGATGCTGAATTAGGGAACTCTCACCATGCAGAAGTGTGCAAATCCCTGGGTACTTTCATGCACAACTTGAGGTGAGGGACAGACAATCCCCCACAGGCTGGGCTGCTTCCTTCCCTGGCCTCTTGCAATCAAAAGGCTGTAGGGCTTCTTGAATGCGCTGGACTTCACCTCCAGGATGCGTGCAACAGTGAGCTTCCCTGATGCGCAGCCGTCTGGAGCCCTGCAGAGAGGCTGACCTGGCTTTGGCCATCGCCTGAAGCCCTGGCTCTCGTCGCCACAACTGGTTGAATACACCACGAAACGGGGAAAAGAAAACCCCACCACCAATCCATCGTGGCTTTGTGCAAAGCCACAACAGTGGCCTCACAAGGGAATTGTGCTCTGGCAGAGCAGCCCAAATTTGACAAGCAAAGTTGCGGGGTGTGTATGTGTGTGTACAGATAGTGTTATAAACCAACGAATGCATTATATATACATTTAAATCTATACTAATTACAAATTGATCGTATTATCTACCTGTATGTGGAACATATTTAATGTCAACGTTTAAACTGTGTGTGTTTTAACAGATACCCATGTTCAGAAACCAGAAACTCCCTGCAGATCTTTTGGGGTTTCAGTTGCCTCTTGTTTGCACACAGTGAAATCGGAGAGTGGAGCCCGCCTGTCTGCTTTGCCTCTGAAGCCACTGCAGAGCGCCTGCTTCTGCCCCACTTCCTCTGCCCCAGAGATCAGATGCTCAGCTGCCTTCGGTGGCATCTGGTCCTGGCTGTCACAGAACAGCCCCAGAGAGAGCGTGCGCCCCTCACCCACGACACATGGAACAACCACACTAGCCAAGCATATTTCAGTCTTGGGTACTGTGCGCATCAGATACTTACGACTGGTAGAGGGTTGTGTAATGTATACCCTTATACAATTAGTTCACTGCTAATTAGGAATTAGCCTGTGGCATGAACACAATTGGTGAGGCTTCCTTCCCAATGAATTCTGCCGCAGTCCTTGGACCAAAAAATCAACTCCACAAAGAAGCTAAAGCTACTTTGAGTGAGAGGGGCAATAATAGCAGAAACTTACAAGGCTGATGGGACTGCACCATCCCTCTCCTCTTCCTCCTCCTTGCAGTATATGTCACTGAATCAGGCAGGGGTCTGTCTAACCTGCTTCTGGATGTTATCCTGTTGCTCTGGACATTAAAAAAATGTTTCAGTCCCTTTTTTGTCAAGGTTCCTGCATCGCTTGGTCACCTTCCTTACTATCTACAGCTCCTAATCACAAATTCTGAGCTTCTGAAAAACATCATCCTGAGTTCAAAGGAAGCTTCACCATTCCCCTTGGTTGCTATAGACCCCTGTCCCCATAAATGCTTTGAAATCTGTCAAAAATAGTTTTGCTGGTCAACTTGGAGCAGAAAACTGATGGCAGGAAAAAGGTTACACGTCTCTCTTGCCTTCTATCTCTCCCCAAGATACAAAACATTTCCCAAGGCCAATTTATATGCAAAACAGCTAGACTAAAATGAATCTAGAAAGATAAAACCCTTCTCAGCAGACATCAAGATTCCCCCCCCCCCGTTTTAATCAATTCATCAATGGAAGTGAGTCTGTATCGTATTTCTTTTCTGTTTTGTGAATGGTCTGTCTGCAGGAATTCCCATCAAGTCTCTTTGAAGGAGGCACTGGATACCATCCTCAGAAAACTAAATTTGATTTCATGTCTTTTACCTGGAGATATATATATCTTATTATATATATATATATGTTCGAAGGGTCACAAGCAGTGAGACCACCAGGAGATTAAAAAGTTACAAAAATTTATTGCTATTAAAACATTAAAACACCTAGCTTTCGCCGGCCTCCTGCCGGCTTCGTCAGGGTGACTAGCCATCAGTGGGGTAGCTGTTTTTATAGGAGCGGTGCCTTTTGCACCCGGCTCCTAGATCTNCTAGTCACCCTGACGAAGCCGGCAGGAGGCCGGCGAAAGCTAGGTGTTTTAATGTTTTAATAGCAATAAATTTTTGTAACTTTTTAATCTCCTGGTGGTCTCACTGCTTGTGACCCTTCGAACATGAATTTACCCAGGAGTCATCCTCCAATTTTTAGAATTTTAAAGGATATATATATATATATATATATATATATATCTCTTATATATATTGCCTACCCTACAAGGTTCCATCCAAAAAAGGTGCCGGAACTCCGTTCTGGGCGTTCTATGACCAAAAAAAGCCCTGCATATAACAATGGAACAAAAACAAATCCAGTTTCTCCCTCTTGACAGATTGCAGCTGATCCTGGAAGATGATCCCAAGGTTTCTGAGGTTTGGTGCAACCCTGGGCCTCAGGGCCTCAGTAGCTATAGCTCTCATAAACCTCAGCTTTTAAACTCACATGGTGGACTACGTAAGGCATTTTATATTTGCACCGGCAGATCAGGCTGCAAACCTTCACTGCTGCCAACAGCTGACGGCCAGTGACGGCATCTGGAAATGTATTACGCGTCTAGGAATAATCTTAGGGGATTATTGCCACATTTTTCAACAATACACAATACCTTTATTTATTTCAAATGGCTCCTGAAAAGTAAATTCAGAACTTACACTGCATAAAGGTTTTTTTTTAAACGTTCACAGTCAAAACCTAACCACACTGTGCTGAATGTCCACTCAACCCTTTCACAGAGTCATGGCATGTGTTTGTTGACACCACGGTTGCATATAAATAGGCACGTTTATTGCTGAGACTGGATGCAGGCTTACTCAGATGTTCCTTGAGTTAACTGACACTGTTGAGTGAAAGCACCCCGGGACAGGAATCGACTCGGGAACAGGCCATATTTCCAAATAATCATGGACAGGTCCTCTACGCCCATAGCTTTCTTCATGATCTGATTTCCAAGAACTACTAATTACTCAGGAAGCTGCAGAGTGGGGGGGACATTGTTTTGGGTGCCCCAGCATCTGACAACAAAGGAAGCTTCATTTCGCTGTCTTCTTCTCACCGTCTGGAAATTGTGTCGAGGTGTCCTTGTGATGGGGGCTTAGACTCAACAAGGATAACTCCAGATCTGACAAGAAGAAACTCTCAGCTCTTGGGGTGAACACATGGCAGTGCTTGCGCCTTCCCACAGTTGGGGGGAGGAAACAAAAGAGAGACGGGGGAACTGGTCGAACCACATTCACGGCATGCTCAGCTGGAGGTGCTATCACGGCCTATGGGCAGGAGCCTTATGTAGTCTCTCTCCCTCCTGAGCAAAGAGGTTTAAATTTAACCCAGTGGGGGAAATGATTCATCTCTTCTATCTCACCATCTATTAAAAACATTTGGCTCCATCGTCCCCAAAGCCAAACAAATGACCCAGGCTGTGTCCGAAGACTTCTGGGGAGGCCAGGGGTCTGCAAGAGGAGGGGGGCTTTGGGGGAGGAAAGAGGGAAGAAGGAAGGAAGGAGAAGAAGAAAGGTAGTCAGAGAAGAAGGGAAAAAGGAGAGAGAGGAAGGAAGGAAGGAAGGAAGGAAGGAAGGAAGGAAGGAAGAAAGGAAGGAAGGAAGGAAGGAAGGAAGGAAGGAAGGAAGGAGTTTTGGATCCATTGAATCCAACTTCTAACTACCATCAAAAGTCTTTGCAATATCCCAAGACAAGTTTACCTTTCACCCTTTTGCCGTGACATTCACAACGGAGGTTAGATATTTGGAGTGTGATCCTCCATACCCTTCCTTTCCTTTTCCTTTTCCTTTCCCCCCCTTAAGCTCTCTAACCCAGCGGCCATCACCCTCAAGTGTTACAGTGGTGACCTCATCTGCCAACCCTTGGCGGGCTTTCCTTTCATCTGGCCAAGATGACTCAACTCCCCCAGGGAGGGAGGTGCCAGGCCCCCAGTCCCTACCCACGATAGTTCGGCCCAAGAGAAGGAGGCCGTGGTGGGCTGGATGACCCGATGCCAACCTGATGCCAGCTTCCCTGCACTCTTTCCGAGACAAAAATAGTCAGGCCAGGATTCGCGGCCGAAGGAGCAGGAATGCGGATCACGCTGGCAGAGCTTCTTTCTTTTCTTTTCCAGAGACAGGAGGGGGAAGAGAAGCTGTTTCTGCTGACCAGCTAGAATTTCACTGTGTACTTTTCCGTCCGCCATGCGGGCACTGAGACGCCTCTGCCAGCCCCCAGCCAATGGCCGGCCGGAGCGGGCAGAAAAGCAGGATCAGGGATCCCTGACGTCATGGGTCGGGAGGCTTTAGCCAGGGCAGCGCCTGGCATCAGGGAGCATATAAAGCCAGGCGCTTGGCTCGCCAGTATGCACTGCCACCGGCCGCTTCCTTGGGGGAGATGGACGTCTCCATCCACCACCCCTTCTTCCGCAGACGGCTCTTGCCCGGCCTCTCGCCCAGCCGCCTCTTCGGCCAACATTTTGGGGATCCCGTCATGGAATCCGAACTCTTCGCAGGCAGCTGGCCCCTGGACTCCTTCCTGGCGAGGCCCTTCGCCTTCAGGAACGCGGGATGGATGGACAGCGGACTTCCCGAGGTAACCCTTGCCCTTGCCCCCATGCCAGGATGCACCTGCTGACCTTTTATGTATTTATTACATTAAAAAAAATTATATAGCCGCCCAACTCATTCATGTTGACTCCAGCCGGTTTACAAAAATAAAACCCCAATACGAAACCCAATAAATGCCCAGTCTGCTGGCAACAATAATCACAGCAACCATTTGATGAACTCTGTATCCCTCCGAGGTGCCCAGGCCAGATATTGGCAAAACTGCGTCTTTGGGGCTTTTCAAAAGAGCGACAAAGTAGGGGCCAATCTTATCTCCGCAGGGATGATGCTCCACGTGGAGGGAGCCCCCATGGAGGAGGCCCTTCTTCTTGGTCCCAACAGATGGACCTCCTTAAGAGAGGCGACCCGTAACTTCTCTTGCTTCCGTGTTCTGGTGGGTCAATGGGTGTAACTGGGACGAGAAGGTCCTTCAACTAGCCTGGTCTCAAACCATGGAGGTCATTAACCTTGCTCAGTTATTCGTTTCTTTGTGAGGTTTGCATGCAGCAGAGCGAGGGTGTGGGGCTCCATGGCAAAAGCCACTTAATCCGGGCGTCTCCGAGGGTTCCTTTTGAGACAGGTTGACCCACAATTCCCATCCTCCCAGCCAGCATCTCTGCTGGCAATCTGGCCCTCCCGTTGCACCAAGGATTCACTTCTTCACAAAACGGGCATTGTTTCTGTCCCTTCTGTTCAGATGCCGGCAGGGGCATCGCTCCTTTCCATGGGACCAGCTATAAAAGGGCTGGATATTTTCCCCCAAATACAAGCCACACCTTGCTTGCTCCTTGCAATCTTAGACCGTGTTAATCTTTTCCATTGGTTTAATTTTAGAGTTTCCTTGTGATTTTATAGGTCTTTTGATTGGGAGCCACCCAGGCTTGGTTGAAAGATGGGCGGCTATATAAATGTTTTAAATAAAATAATGTTTTAAATAAAGAAAACCAGTAAGCCAGACCTCAGAAAGATAAATGAAAAATCGAAGAGGGGGAGGTTAAATTAGAAAAACAACAACATTTAAAGAAGTGGAAGGCTGGAATGCAATTGGTCAGGTGATGGGAGAAAGCACGGAGGTTTTCTTGGTTTGGACTAAATATGCAAGTAACCAGAGATGCTGGGTTCACACATCATGCAAAGCCACAAAAAAACTGAGCTAAAGGTAAAGCAAACCGTTTCTCATGTCATCAGAATGTATCTGCTCCTTTTGCACTGATCTTGTTAAATGTATTTGCAAAACCAACCCAATGAGGGAATAGAGAGATTCATGGCAACTTCCACAAGATGCCTTTGCAAATTTTACAAGGGGTCCAAAGACCCATAGCTTTTATTTTTGGCCTCCTGTCTTCCCTTACTGCTATTATTTATTATCATAACTTAGGATTAATTCGCTGAAAGCTTGCTACAAGGCCTCACACACGCAGAAGTGTTCTGTGTCTAGAATTTCCTGACTTTGCTAAATACGAAATCGTCTTTCCTAACCCAAACGGTTTGTCCTCAGATGCGTTTGGACAACTATCAGTTTTCCGTCAACCTGGACGTGAAGCAGTTTTCTCCCGAGGAGCTGAAGGTCAAGGTCTGGGGAGACATGATTGAAGTCCAGGGGAAGCATGAGGAGCGCCAGGTTGGTCTATTCAGGGATGACCCCGTTTGGCACAGCAACAGGAGGTGAAAGGGATTAAATTTGTATGTCGCCCATCTCACTCTCCAAAGTGACTCCGGAGAGGCCACACAGCCACAATATCTGCACCTGGGAGGATCACAAAGTGATGCCTACAGCATGGCATGTTAATTGGCTTATTCTTCCATTTCAAATCAGAGGCAACCAGAGATGAAGTTAATCACGATCTCAGTTACCAGCCAGGCTGTTTGGGGGTGACTTGCCCAGTTCTCAGGGAGAGGATGGATCTTAACCTGGCACCCAGAAACATAAATTGGAAAGCTGAACACAGAGCTTTTCAGTTGCAAGATGCTGCTTATTTTATCTATTTATTCATTAGATTTATATCCTGTCTCTATTGCTTTATAATTCAAAGCAGCGAACATACGTAATACTCCTTCTTCCTCCACCTATGGGTTAGGCTGAGAGAGAGGGACTGGCCCAAAAGTCGCCCAGCTGGCTTTCATGCCTAATGCGGGACTAGAACTCACCATCTCCCTGTGATTGGCCCAAAGTCACCCAGCTCGTTTTCCTCCTTTAGGTGGGACTAGAACTCACCGTCACCAGGTGATTGGCCCAAAGTCACCCGGCTGGCTTTCATGCCCAAAGCGGGACTAGAACTCCCAGTCTCCCGGTTTCTAGACCAGCACTTTCACCACTAGACTTAAGCAAACTCGCCTACTGACCCTGCACTGCCTTTTCTGCCTCTCCCCCCACAAAGGACAGGCAGGGCTCCGTCGCCCGCGAGTTCAGCAGGAAGTACAGAATCCCAGCCGACGTGGACCCCCTCACCATCACCTCCTCCCTCTCTTCGGATGGCATCCTGACGGTGAACGGACCAAGGAAACTCAAGGAACTTCCGCAGCGCAGCATCCCCGTCATGCGGGAAGAAAGATCGGCACTCCTGCCAGGACCAAGGAAATAGAGGCCCCTGGAAGGCCCGCCCTTTCCACCCCGAAGAAAGCCTTTCCCTGGGACAGAAACGGCAAATTGGTTCTTCTTCTTTATTTATCTGTGCAAAGATAGGCACCTTTTACTAACAAATAAACAGGTGGGAGCTTTCCCCCCCTCAGTCTTCAAGGCCAACTTCAACCTTAGCGAAGGCTCGGTCCTGCACCGAGGGTTTAATCCAGTGGTGGACCTGCTAAGAGAGCCCCACACAAAGCCAGGAAGGAACCAGAACTGAAACACAAAGGTGTGGAGGGTCTCCTGGCATGCATTTCTTTTATTTTAGGAACTTCCGCCCAGCAAGCAGGCTTCTAGTCTTCGTGGTGGGGCGAGGAGACCTCCCAGCAGAGATTTCCACCCCCCAGGTGATCCTGGAGCAGCGGCCTACTGCTTCAGCGGCGTTTCCTCTGCTGCCTTGGGCTTCCCTTCGGTCAGAGAGCAGACTGCCCTGCCGTGTGGAGGCTCGTAGTCGATCATGTAGCACGACCGAGCGGTGGGCTTGATCGGAGGGGGCTCCAGCTCAGGCTGGTGTCCGGGGAACCAGTGAGGCTCTCGCGTCACCCCTAAGAGCACAGAGAGGAGGGGGAAAGGCATGGGGGTGCATAGGTGTGTGCAGCAGCACGTAGTCCCCACACTGGACCCCTCTGCGACAACCCAAGGCAGCCCTGGCCTGGCCTTCTCCTAGCCAAAGGGCACCCAGAAGGCCAATAAGCTGCCCTGCTGTGCAGGGATTTCAACCCAGGCAGTCCTCGACTTATGACCTCAACTGAGCCTAAAATTACTGTTGGTAAAAGAGACAGTTGTTAAGCGAATGTTGCCCCATTTTACAACCTTTATTGCCACAGTTGTTCAGTGAATGACTGCAGTTGTCTAGTTAGGGACACGGTTGTTAAGTGATTCTGGCTTCCCCCATCGACTTTGCTTGTCAGAAGGTCGCAAAAGGGGATCACATGACAGCCCCCCCGGGGACGCTGCCACTGTCATAAAGCTGAAGCAGTTGCTAAGTGTACAAATTTTGATCACGGGACTATGGGGAAACTGCAAAGGTCATAAGTGTGAAAAACGGTCGTAAGTCGCTTTTTTCAGTCTGTTGTAACTTCAAGCAGTCGCTAAACAAATCATTGTAAGTCGAGGACTACCTGCAGTTGGCTGCCTACTTTCCTATCTTCTGGGCTTTGGGAAAATCCCACCTGAGCCCTTAGGCCAGCCTGGGATTTGGACTCCTGAGGGGGCTTAACTGGAATCCCCCAAACCAAGAAATGCTGGGAAGAGGGAGGAGCAACAGCTCCCTTGCACACCTGGGTGTGTTTCACTGACTGTCCCAGGGTGCACCTGAGGCCCCCCCCCGAGTCTTGGCTTGCGATATTGACTGTCTCTGATCTGACCCCCTGGGGTTTCTCGGGTCCCATGCTATCGATGCTTGTGTCTGTCTTATTTCAACTCTTCTGCTACGAATCTTTTGGGAAATATATATATATATATATATATACACAAGCCCTGGGTCTCCTGGCTGCGTCTTTTTCTTCCTGCGGGTTAGTTTTGTACACCTACTTCTTAATCTGCGAGGCATTTCCTTGGAATAGTCTGACCCGTACGTGGACTCGAAATAGTGACCGTACTGAAAGGGAAAGTCCAGGGTCAGTGCACGCTTCATTCAGAAGACCGTTTCATTCCCTCCAGCCCAACCTTCAAGAGGAAGGGCATTGACCCCTCCCCCAAAGCAAACTGTGACTCAGAGACCAACAGAACTTTAGTCAACATAGTGGGAAGATGAGGAGTATGACGAGATCACCTCCAAATTCCTGAACTCAGAGCTTAGCCTGGCTGATTTCAAATAGTTTGCTGCCAAAAAAAATAAAATAAAAATGTGCACACGAAAATAACCCAGGAACTGAAGAGAGCAAACAGGACCAAACAATAACAGGCAGAATGTGCTCTACAAGATTTTTCAGGATGCTCCATTTCTTGAAGTGACTTTCTGTTTAGATTGGAGGCTGTGCAGATCCAGGAATGTTTAAATATCATCTCAAGGGCTATTGTTTTATTATATTGGAGTTCTACTTGTCTCCTAAGAGGCCTAGAGAGCTGCTTCTAATGGCCTTTTTTCCACCTTTTATTCACATCACGTGACAGGTTAGGCTGAAACAGAACTCACAGAGCACAAAATCTTAAGTGTGGATTTTCTGAGTTTTGCATGAACCCCCTTTGTGAACCCCATCTACGGTGGTTTGAAAAATCATGATTTATGGTAAGTTATTCAACAAACCATGGTTTGAAACAAGTGTTGGGTGGGTACAATGCGTGAACTCAGCTGCTGTCTGCCCTACATGGCCCTACATGGGTCCTGAAGGCTGGGCTTCAGACATTGGCATATTATAAAATGCCCTTTAGCATTGATGGTGTTCCCCAGCTGGGTCATGAAACGTCTGCAAGAAAACAACCAAGCTCAAAGACCACCAAGGACCCCGCAAAGAATTATAAAAAGCCCCCAAAGCACTTGATAATTAGCAATGGCCCTTTTCAATCCTGTTCAAATGGCAGTCTGACCTGGGAAGGAAGAGGTTTGAGTTGCCTCCTTCTCTGGATATCGTAACGCTCCTCATTCCAGTTCCCCAAGAGGGTTTTGTTGGCATACATGTCCTCGTTGGTGGTGCACCTCCACCCATACTGGAAGAATTTTGATGTGCTGTTCCAGTCTGTCCACACCTCCCCGTGGCCGTCTGCGTGGAGCAAGCAGCCATGAAGAGGGTTAAAGAAGCACGACAGGGACATGTCCTGAGAGGAGAGAGAAAAACAGGCCAAGGGCTGTAGAGAGCACATCAAGAGAGCCGTTACAAGTGGCCCTCGACTTAGAGGCATTCATTCAGCAAACATTCAAAGTTAACAACAACGCCCCCCCCCAAAGTGACGTATGACTGGTCCTCGCATTTACAACCCCACGTGATTTAAATTCAGGTGCTTGGTAAGTGGCATCTACGAGTAAGTCGTCGACTTGAGCCCAAAATTTCTGTTGTTACATTTCTTGACATTTCTTGAATTAAAGGGAAAAGGGGAATTTTCCCAACACTTCAGCCTGGAACGGTGAGAAATCTGGACACTCGGCAGCCAGAAATACCTCGGAATCAGAAGTTGTAGTGGTGATGTTGGAACTACTGGTTTCGTCCAAATCCCACATTTTCTTGCCAGTTTTCCCGTTCTCAGTTGGAATATCTCAGAAAAATGGAACACCTCAGTGACCTGGGTGTGAAAGCTATCAATGGATTTTAAAAGTGCCAAGGAGATGAGGACCTGGAGCAGGCAGCCAAAAAACCCCTAATTTGCTTAGTTTGTGATGTAATCTCCTCATCATGGGCTAGGGCTGATGTCACTGTCCTCAGCTGGGATAAGAGGCTTTTATCCAAAACTGCATCTTGCCAAGAGAGGTGGGCACTAAGAGCTTTGGCCCCTTTGCCCACCAGCGTGGCATGACTATGTCCCGGTCTCTTTTCTGCCGTGTCTTCATGTTGTTACTTTTTTCTTGCCCATCATCCATGAGCGAAGAGACATCTAGTCTTGTCCCTGATGTAAAGTGGTCAAAGGCAGGGAATGGGAAGAGGGGGGGGGGGTAGGAGAGGGATGGCAATGGGGCCAGCCACCTTCTTGCCCTCCTGTTGATGGGGGGGGGGCAGAGAAGTCCCAAGGGCACCTCCAAATAACTGATTAAATGCACTCCCTTCAATCAGAAGGTGGCTCAAAGTACTGCTATAATTTACTCTGTATGGGTTTTTTTCATATTGTAATTGTTTTTTAGGATAGGCTGGCAAATTATTTTGATTTTGCGGACACTGATAGGGTCTTGGGAACCCCCAGGGACCCTTGGGCTACGCTTTAAGAAGCTCTACCTTAGAGGAAGAACTTTCGGTCAAGAACCCTGCATTTCACCTGCCATTCCTCAGGAAAAGGTGGACTAAATGCTCTGTAGGGGTACTGTCCAGCTCTAAGATCCCCTCCCCTCCCTCCCTTCCTATTTTTCCTCCCTCTGTAGTCTTTCTTTCTCTCTCCTTCCTTCTTTCTCTCCCTCCCTTCCTTGTCCCCTCCTTATTCCCTTCCTTCTCTTTCTACTTTCCCTCCCTTCCTTCTTCATTTCCCTCACTTTCTCTATCCTTCCTTCCTTTTCCTTATTTTCCCTCTCACTCCTTCTCTATCCCTCCCTCCCTTACTTTCCTTCCTCCCTTTTTTTGAGGGGGAGAGGAAAAAAGAAGAGAGCGAGAGAGCTCCTGAACATGGAGGCTCCATACACACCCCTAGGCTACCGTCTCACCCTTCCCAAGGAGTGACCCCCACACACACACGAGAATAAGCCTAATAGTAGCAGTAATAGTAGAAATAAATTCGCCCCCCCCCACCTGCCGAAGGCGCCCCGCCAAGAAAGCCTCGGGAAACCCGAAAGGGGCGGGGGAGGAGGGGGGGAGGGAGGGAGCCGTTCCTATGGCAATCGCAGAAGCCGCGCGCCGGGAGAGGGAGGGAAACGCTCGCGCCGGAAGTGACGTATAAAACGTTCGCCCGCGCTTCGGAGCCCCGTGGAAGCGGGCCGGCTGGGGAGGAGGAGGAGGAGGAGGAGGAAGCGAGTGGGGAAATTCCGGATAGTTTTGCAATATTTTTATCCTTTCCCCCCCTCCTTTCCGGAATTTGTTTTATAAAAGGATTGGCCAGAAGGGAATTTGGAAGGGGGGGGGGATAAAAATGGATTAGCTGCTATTTACGCCCCATTCTAGATGTGACGCTCCTCTAGTCTTGCCGCACCCATCATCCCCAGCCAGGGGTCGGTCGGTCCTTTTCTTTCCTCTCCCAAAGAATCAAGAATGTAATAGTGAAAATAATGTTAATATAATATTTTGCAATAGCATAATATAACATTGGCCCCTGGGTGTGCTTTGAAAGAAAGCAGCGGAATTAAATCATAGGCTCCCAGGGCTGGAAGGGACGTAGGAGGTCACCTAGTCTAACCCCCTGCTCAAGGCGGAAGGCCTCATCCTCGATAAATAATTGTCCAATTTTTTTCTTGAAAACCTCCAGCGATGAAGCGACCACAACTCTGGGAGGCAAAACTGTTCCATTGATTAATTGTTCTCGCTCTCAGGAAATTCCTCATTTCCAGGTTGGATTTCCCTTTGATCAGCTTCCACCCATTGCTTCTTGTATCCACCTATTGCTTCTTGTGCAAAAGCAACCTAGACTGTTTTTACCTCCTTGGTTTCATTCCTGTAGCATCCTTGGAGGTAGTCTTGGCAGAGACCCAAGATGTTTCTCTCATCCAGGAGGAGCCCTGAGGTGCTTCCTGCAAGTTTTGGGGCACAGCTCCCCAGCTTGCTTGCTGTGAGCCATGCTGGCTGGCCATGAGTGATGCTTGGTTGCTTCTCTGCTATAGAACGAGGGATTTGATGAATTTCGGAGCTTGCATCTCCTTGTTTCCTGTTTCAAAAATGATTCAGGTGATTGCCTCAGAAGCAACGGACTAAAGGAGCAGAGTCCCCTGAAGTCTTCTACAATCCAGACTCTGGCTGTTGACAGTGACCGTTTGTCTCCATGCAGCATCAACAAGCACATTTCCTACTGGTTGGGGAAGGAAACTTTTCCTTCTCGGTCCATTTGTACAAAGAAAGAGGCTGTGATACTCATATTATTGCAACCTGCTATGGTAGTGAAGAGTCTGTATCTGAACAAGCTTTCACTAAATCCAATGTACAATTTCTGAGAGACAAAGGTAAACGATGTGTATGGTTGTGGGGGGAAGCATTTTCATTGCATTTTTGTTATCCTTATATTTTGTTCACCTGGAAAAATTCAACTATTAAATTCTGCATTATTCCTTTAATAATCCAGGTGCTGAAATCTACTTTTCCGTCAACTGCACAAAACTGAAGGAATACTTCTTGCCAGCTATGAGGAATTTTGACCGTATTTATTTTAATTTCCCCCATTGTGGAAAAAAGGCTGGAATAAAAGAGAACAGGGAACTTCTTGCTAAGTTTTTCTGCAGGTGAGACAAAGCAAGGCTGTGTACTTTGTCCTGTTACATATATGTGTGTGCGTGCCTTTGTTTTGTACTACCATAGAAACCTTAAGATACAAATGTTGAGAAGTTAGAGCTACCTTTTGATCCTCCCAACAGGCATATCTTTGTTACTCTTAAGAGCTTTGTGCAAAGAGCTGCAGGATTGTATGGGCAAAGGAAATATCAATTGAGGATGTCTGTGGCTTTGGTTCTTGATGTTGGTATCCCTGTATGCAACTATTTCATCCACCTCCAGTAGCAAATATTTTTGTGCAAAACAATGTTTCAGAAGTCTCTTGAAAAGACTACTCTGGAGTTGTTTTTCTTTTCCTTAAAAAAAAGTTCTGAAAAGAACAGAAGTGAAGTGAGGTTAGCTCCAAAATTATTCATTTTTCCTCTTCAAGAACACTTTTCACATTTTTCACTTCCCTGTAATTATTAAAAACAATATAATAAATAGATTTCTTGAAAACAACTAAAAAACCCTGACAACTTGCTACATTAGCTGCAAGGCAATGCTACCCCTCTTTTTTATTTGCTCCAGCTGTGCAGATGTTTTGGCAGAGAAAGGAGACATCCATGTGGCACTTTGCAGAGGACAAGGAGGAACCCTTGCAGACCAGCCAGTGCGTGAGTGGCACAACAGCTGGCAAGTTGTGGCGATGGCAGCAGAAGCAGGATTTATCTTGAGTGGCATTGAGCCATTTAATATCAAAGACATTGGTGGATATAAATGTACCGGCTACAGGTAAGGTGCGGTGGATCCTATCCCAGGTGCCACCTTGGATGTTGCCCGAGAAAGTGCCTTATTGCCAAATGCTCCTACGTATCTCTTTTGGGAAGCATCATGCAAATTCTGTGGATGACAACTGCACATACAGGATTTATTTCTTATAAAACTTATATGTCTCATATTTAAATTTCTATTACCTGTAGCAAAAAAGATTTATGACCTTGTTGGTTTTCAGGCCTTTGTGGGGGCAAGTTTATTGAAGGAACAGAATAAATTTCCAGTAAAATCCTATACAAATTTTGGGAATAATCAGATCTATACAGCCTTCCTTAACTGAATTATTTCTGTATATGTGGAACTACGCTCTTTTGTCTCACAAAGATTGTTCTTCTAACTGTTGACACCTTTCAGCATGAATCTTGCCTGGTGTTTCAGCCAGCCCAACATTTGCCTTCTGGATTTTGGATTCCATCTTAATTTGCTTTCAGTTGGTTCAGCTAATTGTACAAATGAAAGGCATTGAATTCATTTGCCTCCAAACTTCTCTGCTTTCTTTGTAGGAATCAGGATAAATCTTTCCACATGGAAGGCGCTGTGAATCACATATTCACCCGGAGTGTGCCATTTCTGCATTCTCAACCTTTGATTTGCAAAGCGGAGCTGGAAGGCAAACTCACGTCCTGCGAAATTCCACAGATATTCCTAGATAAGATAAAGAGGTATGCGGCAGAATTTCCAGAACCTTTGAGTCTGATCTCTGCATAATGTAATCAATTCCTTGGCTGATGAGTGTGCTCTTAAATGGAACACTTAAGGGGTGTGTGTGTCTACATTTCCTTTAATGTCCAGATGCCTTTTGTATTGACATCTGAGAAACTAAGATAACACTAACGAATAGGCTAAAAATCGTAACACTCTTTCACATTTACTGCTCCATCAATAATTTGCTATTTTTGAAGATAAAACATTTGAGGTTAATGGCTTGCCTTGTTTAATACTTCTTTTTTCCTAATATTTTTATAATATGAATTAGGAACTACTTAGATATTAATTCAAAGCATCCTGTGAGAACTATAAATGAAAAACTAATTGACGACCTCGGCAGATCCTTCACAGTTCAGAAGGCGAATTCTTCATTTCCCTTGGTATTCAAAGACCGTTCTGCTTCTCCTTCATCAGATGCCTTTTGGATGGTTCCTGTTGCCAAAAATTACCCCAAAATTAAATCTGTGGCCTCTAAAAGTGACACAGGAACTGATGAGGATGATGATTTGAGTTGGACCTTGGGACAATATTACCTTCGACCTTCCCTGTTGATTTTTCTCCATTCTATTATAAAGCAGAGAGACTTTTCTCCTCAGACTTTGTTGGCCCTCAGTGGACTGGCTTTTAGAAAATGTAAAATTTCTGTTCACGATCCTCCTATTTTTCACGAGGCCATCTTCGTCTGCGCAGTTAAGAAAGATGTAGAAGATGCAGAGCTCCTGACTGAAAGTCTCATAGATACATTAAACTCTTTACTCCGATCATCGGATGTTAAGTTGGACTCTCTGAACCAAGAGCCAGAAAACAGTCAACAGAATACCTTTTTATCTTCTTCAGAACCATTTTTACACAACCCAAAATACGCTGTGACCGTAAGCTGCCAGGGTTTTGATTCTGGCCCAAAGGAGTTTCATGTCGGGACAATAAGTACCATTCCGTGGCAACTTTCAAGCCTTAATCAAAACATTGTTTGCATTTCTTTGAACCTTGATCTTCTGGCGATGTGCGTATGTGGCATTTCTGACTGGCGGATGCTCTGGACTTCAGACGAGCGTTTTGCAACCCAGTTTTTGGGGGGCCATTTAGGCATTTTCCAGAACTTTTCCCTCTACCCACCAACCTACGTGCACGACATCAGCTTCTGGGTTCCAGATGCAGAAACATTCCATGAAATCCAGTTTCATATCATTGCCAGGCGTGTGTCTCTGGACACAGTTGTGTCTATCCAGCTGCTTGACCGTTTTCGGCACCCGGGGGCGACACACACCAGCCTCTGCTACAGGCTCACTTACCAGTCTTGCGACAAAGCGCTCGGTCGCCCCCAGGCGGCTGCCATGCAGACGGAGCTTAGGGAAGAACTGCAGCGGTGCCTCCGGGTGGTTGTTAGGTAGGAGGACCCGGAGAACTTGGCAGGGTCGGTGTTGGCAAAAGAGGAGGAGGGAGAGGAGTTGTATGTGATTGCCACCTTGAGTTATTTATAAAAAAAACAGAGCTGGAATTTAAATAAAATAAAGGACAAAAATTTTCCCGAGGAATAGATTTTGTTTGTTTGTTTGTTTGATTTTATTTATTTATTTATTTATTTATTTATTTAACCAAGCAGCACTGCTGCATTAAAAAAAAGCATCACCTATATAAAACCTTGCAGCAGTAACATTCTTTGCCCTGCAATAAATAGGGTGCAGCAGTGCAGAAAACCAATCTTGGGGAAAGCAGTTTACTTTAGGGGACGGAGGGAACGTTCAGCACGCAAATGAGATTGGAGCTCTTCCTACTAGGCCCTACTGCCCCGCCTTTGGCGACTTCGTGCTTTTCCACGCGTCGCCCCACAAAAAGCGCAGCGCCAGCCCGCCGCAGGAGCAGACGTGAGAGGAAAAGGAATTGCGCCTGCGCTGTGCCCACACTGAAGATGGCGGCGGCTGGCGCCGCGTCCCTGCATTGAGCGCCACGAGCCCGTCCGCCTGCCCACACTCGGCATGGCTGCCAAGGGGGCCCGGCAGCGGCCTCGGTGGGGCGGCGGGGATTCGGCGGCGCCTGCCCGGCACCGAGACGAGGGGCCGCCGCCGGCCGCCGAGGAAAACAGAGCCGAGTAGGGGCCGAGAACGAGGAAGGATGGCCTGGTTTTTGCCCCACCGGGCCCTCCGGGGGGCTGGACTACAACTCCCATCAGCCCCCAGGATCTTCAACCTTCTATCAGAAGATTGAAGATACTAAGGAGTGATGGGAGTTGTAATCCAGCCCCCCCCGCCTGGGATTCAGGCTTTGGAAGGGGAGGGGCCTTTCGTGTGTTGTTAATAGGACGAGAGAATTATGGGCTAGCCTGGAAGGGTAAATGGGGGGGAGGAGAGGTAGTGGCAGAAAGGGTGAGGGAGGGAGGAGAAGAAATGGGCTTGCGCCTCTTTTATTCAAAACTAATCCATGCAATGGCAAGCCTTAGGCTTAGGATGTCCGCCCTAGTAGCCACATCAGCAACAGGAAAGGTAACTTAAAACTTCTCCCAGCCAGTAATCATAATTTTGCAAAAATAGGTCCCTTTAACCAGGTTCTCCTACAGGGCAAGGATTTGGTCTTGATAGATCAGGCCAGTTTTAAACATTGATGCAGATAGTATTTGATCAATTTGAAACAGGGCTGTCCAAACTTGGCAACTTTCTAAGACTTGTGAACTTCAACTCCCAGAATTCCCCAGCCAGCATGATGGAGATATCTGGAGTATGGCTGGTTGGGGAACTCTGGGAGTTGAAGTCCACCAGTCTTAGTCACCAACTTTGGAGACCCCTGATTTAAAATAAGCTCTCCATAGGCATTTAAGTAAAGAATAAATGAGGTTTGGGTCCAAGAGAGCATTTTCATCCCGTGATTATCCTTGTATGCCTTAAATGCCCCAATTTGGCCCTCTGATTCTCTCATCAGCCTTTCTGAATGCTCCATGGTATCCGAAAGCCAGAATAGCTGTGGAAGCAGCACCCTTTTCCTCCTGTCATTTCTCTCCTCGCTTTCCATCCTCCATTTATACGGATAATAACAACCGCTTTGCTTTTCTCTTAGGTCCTCGGGAACCAAAGCAGGTCACGTCTGGGCTCCTGAAGGATCAACGGCTTTCAAGTGTCTAATCTCAGCCAGGTTCTGCGCAGCTCTGCTAAGTAATATCTCCGACTGCGATGAGACCTTTAACTACTGGGAACCTGTGAGTGTCTTATTAGCTTGCAGAAGAGTGAATGGTTCATCAGCCTCTTTAATCACTTGCTGGATTTAAAAGCCTCAGCTGAACCCTTTGAAATGAGGTCAGGCATCCTGTAGAGATTGGTTTCTTAGGGCAATCATCAGGGTACCAAATGCCTCCATTTCCTTCTTGATGACTTTGACAGGTATCCCAAGGGTGCTTGTCCAAAAGGTGACTGGACTTTCTTGGGGTTTTGTTATTCTTTGAAAATGTTTCACATCTCATCCAAGAAGCTTCTTCAGTTCTTGGATGAGAAGCGAAATGTTTTCAAAGAAAAAAAAACAAAGCCCAGTTGCCTTTCGGTGGGGGGGGGGGACATCTTAACTTGGATGATTGATCCCCATAGACAGTTTGACAGGTACTGGCTGAGTGCTTAGTATTCTTCCTTGTATGCCTACATGTTGTAGAAAGCAAAACGTTGGACATTTTTTGTAGCGCGTTTCTTTTACAGATGCACTACCTCGTCTATGGCAAAGGATTCCAGACGTGGGAATATTCGCCTGTTTATGCCATTCGCTCCTATGCGTACCTGTGGCTCCATGCTCTGCCAGCCCTGTTCCATGCTAGAGTTCTCCAAACAAACAAGGTAACACGGCCACATTGACTTCATCTTTGGAATTGGGTGGAATGAGATTTCCATTCAGTTTGCTAAAGGGACTATTTTTTTCTCCTTTATTTTTTATTTTTTGTTCTCTTGGTTTCCAAGCCTGTTTTAAGAGCAGCTCAGATGCTTTTTATGACATTTTACTTAGGAAACAGAAACAGAGCAGAGTTAAATGAAAGCTATCTCTAGTTTGGTCTTTGGAGGGTTCAAACCTGCAGAAGGCTGACTTCGGTCCAGTTCAAAGGTGTATGTGTCATATGGGTTCTTTTTCAATTAAATTGATCCAGGCTCAAGAGACATGAAAGCACCGGATCCTGGATAGGTAGTTCATTTTCATTTTTTCATTTTATTAAATTTATACCCCGCCCTTCTCCCGTAGGACTCAGGGCGGCTTACAGCCAGTTAAAAACAATTTAATACAATACAATAGAAGTTTTAAAAAATCATTAAAAATAAATATATAATCGGCCGCTTCTACTAAAATTTGGCTAAAACCAATTTAAAATACCCCTAGGCCAGTCCTGCCCGCTGGAAC